GAGAGAGAGAGAGAGCATGAGTGGGAGCAGAGAGAGAAGCAGAGCCCGATGTGGGGCTCGACCCAGGACCCTGAGATCACGACCTGAGCTGAAGGCAGACGCTTCTCCGACTGAACCGCCCAGACACCCTAGGTTTTGAGTCTGTCTTAAACTGTGTCCTGAGGCCTCCGTGCGCGCTGCTTGACTGGGCTTCCTTTTGAAACAAAAAGTAGCCTTGGGCAGACGAGTCTGCCTGCCTGATGACTGGCTATTTTCCATTTCTCGGCTGGTCGCGTTGCTCTGCACATAGGAAGGGATGGACTAGGACTTAAGCCGCACCTGCACTGTTCTGTGGAGCCTCTTCAACGATCTCAACCTTAGTTTCCTCGTCTGTAAAATGGGGGTAATGGAACCTCCCGTGGCTAAAGTGAGAATCAAGTTTGAGGTCACGGGTGGCGAGCGTTCCCTCCCCAGGGCCTGTGTTCCACACTCAACGGTGCGAGCTGACAGGCACACGTGTGTCGTGTGGACCCCTCCACATGTAGCACGCTCTGAGGGTGCCGTGTGGCGGCCTCTCCTAGCGCTGCATCCAAGGGATGTTGGAAGGAGCCACAGTACTGAAAGCCCCCATGGCTTTCCCGTGGCTCATTGAACTTGACATTGGGGAGCCTGGTGCTTGCAGTCGTGGCCGTCCTGGCGCGGGCCGGGCAGGTCTGATGTGGCCCAGCGCTGGAGCTGGGCCTTCTCTGATCCAGTGTCACAGGGCCAAGGTCAGTCACACCTGTGCACCGTGGCCTCTGAGGCAGAAGTTCTTTACAGTGGAGGTGGGCATACGGGAGATCGTGGGGCGGTCGGACAGAGGTCCACGTGACTCTGAACGAAACCCGCTTTCCTGAGAAAGGAAACCAGTTGAGAGGCACTGCGGCTGGAGTCGGACATGGGAAGGTGGGGGGCGTGGGGAGCCGCTGACCCCCTGTCCCAGGGTTCTCTGGGGGTCCTCTCGTCCAGCTTCTCACGCTCGGCTGCATGTATCTTAGGCTTGTTTTCATGTCCCCTCTTCAGAGCGGGTGTGTGCGGTGTTTAGTCTGTAAAATACTGTGACCCACGGTGGGAATTGGAATAAGCTTCCTGATCACGTAAAATTGTTCTTACCAGCAAATAAACTCGGGGTGAGAACTTTCCTCCCCTGAAGCAGGGGGATTGTTTGTTTTTCCTAGTGGTCTGCTTCTGAGTATTGATTTCTGCTTCTGACAGACCAGGGGTAATCTAATAGAAGGATGTGATTCAGAGCCAAGTACCATTATGTTTACTCCTGCAACATCTTTTGTTCTTTACTCTTGGCAGCGGTAAAACTTCTTCAAGCAGCTGACAGCTTTAAAGACCAGACCTTCTTTCTCAGCCAGGTTTCCCAAGATGCCCTGAGGAGAACCCTCTTCCCTCTGGCGGGGCTAACGAAAGATTTTGTCAAGAAAATAGCTGCTGAGAATAGACTCCATCACGTGCTTCAGAAGAAAGAGGTAAGACCGAGGGGGGTGCGCTCGCGGCACCATGGCCATGGTCTGCGGGGAAGCGGGGCCCTGTCTGGGCACTTCCTCCCCAGGAGCCAACCTCAGGACAGAGCCTGGCTCACGCACGCGGTAGGACGTGCTGTTGACATACCGAGAACCGCTCAGATGCGATTTCTCCCTCTGTCCCCTCCTCGGCCCTGCTCTGGGGTGAGCAGCTTTCACAGGAGCCTGGCGAGCTGGTTGGGGTGCTCTTGGCCCAGCCTGCCAGGGGAGGGCGGGGCAGGAAGGACCAGGCCTCGAGACGCCCCAGCCAGGGCTCTGTCGCTGCTTGCGTGCAGATCTGCCGTTTTCACACACTCGTCCAGCCCCTCCTTGTCGAGGGCCTTCCTGTACTGGGTGCCGTGCTGCTGGCCCCTGAGGATAGGGCGAGGAGCACACGGGTCCCTCATTCCTGCCTTCACGGAGGTCACAGGAGGGGGAGACAGACACGAAACATACCACGGTAAAAAGACGGGCTCCGAGGAGTTAACATTTAATCCAACGTAAGGCCTCAGGATGAATAGGATTTAGTGTCACAAAGGGGGTTGGAGGGAAATTGTCCCAATAGTGGGAAGACGTGTGCAAAGGCCGTGAGGTAAGAATAAGAAGAGCCTGGGTGTTGGAATGACGGTGAAGCCAGCGTGGCGGGGGTCTGGTGCTACAGGACGGTCCCGGCGTGCTCGGTCTGGTCGGGCCATGTTAGGGGTTGGGTCACCTTCAGCTGAGGCTGCTGCTTCATTTTTGTCTTCCTGGGAATGAGCATGACCTTGCTTTTTTATCAGCAAGTGATTGTCCCCAAGGAAGACATCCTTTCTCACATCCATCCACCCATCATGTCTGTCCCTCTGTTTACCTGTTCGGTTTCTGGGTGTGGCTCTGTGCTGGGAGCTCAGACACACAAGCAGGGCAGGTGAGCGCTCCGTATGATGGGAACGGTGGTGGAGCGTGCGTTCCAGCCCGTCTTCTGAGCTAGAGTAGATCACCTTGAGGGAGTCCTCTCCTTCCTCCGACTCTCCTGCGGATGCCTCGGCTTCTGGCCCAGCTCCTCTCCTTCCCGGCTCGCGGCTCACCGACGGTGGTCCCAAGGGCCCGCGCAGCTCTGGCGCTCTCTCCTGCCGGGGTAGACGTGGGGTGGCCTTGCTTACTCACCAGATCCCGGGTTGGGGGCCTGAAGCAGACCCCTCGAGATGCCCTGAAACCCCTTGAGGTCCGTTGGTGGGGCGCGGCTGGTGTCTGTGGGTGCTGGCTGAGGAAAGCCAGGCCTGCGGCCCGGGAGTGTGGGGAGGCCCGGGGAGGCCAGGGTGCGCAGCCTCCTGTCCTCCCGCCACTGGCTTGTTCTCGTGCGGACACCTCCTGCCTGTTCACTGTCCTCACTGTCGGCTTTCCTTTTGTTTCAGAGCATGGGCATCTGTTTCGTTGGTAAAAGAAATTTTGAAAATTTCATCCTTCAGGTGAGTGTTCTTTGAGCAAAAGAATGGAGCCACATTTTTGCTCTGGACGTGGATCCGTTAGTAAGGAAATGCTTGTTTTTCAGTATTTACAGCCTCGACCTGGTAAATTTATTTCTATAGAAGACAATAAAGTTCTGGGAACACACAAAGGTGAGACACAACCTCGGGCTGCTTTTCGTCCTAAACTTCCTGAGTCGTGGGGCGAGTTTCAGACAAGAAGCTTGTAATTCCTTCCGCGTCCATGAGTGAGTCCGAGAAGCCTGTGGGCGGGGGTCGCGGGTGGCACGAGCGAGTGGCCAGTGTTGTACGTGGTCTCCGTGAAGCCTGGAAGCTCATAAAGAGGGATGCCCTCCGATTCAGAAAGACCTTGATCTCTGAGTGCTGTGTCCCTGCAAATAAAATTACCCTCTCACCATAGAAAAAGAAAACATGAGAACACAGAAAGGTCCACCTGATGAAAGAAGCATGACTAATTGATTTCAGAACGTGAGCTTCCAGATCTAGGACAAAGAAAAAACAGGACCAGAGAGTGTCCCCATAAGGCAGGGGTGTGGCACTTGGGGTGCTGCTTGATTGTTCGCAGATATTTGCTGGGGGTGGGGGTGAACTTGCCCTGGGCTGGTGTGGTGAGGCTGCGACAGACAAATCAGGCCCAAACATTCACAGTGCAGTGGGAGGACAGATGGTGGGTTGGTGAGTGGTGGGCCTGTGCCCTCGGGGCATCGGAGAAGCCCTTTGGGGCTGGTGACCAGGTAGGTCTTGACCCAGAACGTGCCTGACCTGCTGGGGGGACAAGGGCTGGTATTCAGGCATAGACGGTCTCACAGACGGTTCTTTGGAAGCCCCCAGTCCAGTTTGGGCAGATGGCTTCTCTTTCCTGTTGGGGGAGCTGGACTGGGCTGTCCTGGGCTCCTGGGGAGCCAAGCAGAGAAGCCCCAGGCGTTCTGAGACGGGAGGAGGGGGCAGCCTTGCTGGGGACAGGCCTGCAGGGTGCTCCCAGCCTGTCTCCAGCAGGATGAGATCCCCTCAGCTTGTCTCCCCTGTGCTAGGGCTGTTCCTCTGGGATGGGGTCGGGGGGTGCACAGAGAAGTGATGCCACAGCCCCCGTGCGGTTCGTCCGTCAGAGGGGCTCCTGGAGGCTCAACAGGAGGGGGCTTAGGGCTTTGAAAGACGCCCCGTCCACGGTCTGCAGGAGTGGTCCCTGCGGCTGATGGTTTAGGTGGCCCGGCAGCTGGCATGGCTCCTGGCAGGGTGCGAGGTGCAGCCAGACCTGGCCCAGACAAGATCAGGGCCGAGGCTCGCGGTGGGAGCACACAGCCCCTCTGGATACTCCTCGGTGGCCTCCCGACTGCTGCGCCCTGCTCCCCATGCTCTGCTCCCCGTTAAGAGGGGGATGGTGTTTGAGATGGAGCTGGTGCCAGCTCCCTGAGAAACCATTATTTTCGTAGGTTGGTTCCTGTATACTTTGGGCCAGAGAGCCAAGATAGGCGGCTTACGGGAGCCCTGGTATGTGGTGGAGAAGGACGGCACCAAGGGCGACGTGTTTGTGGTGAGTCGGGCTGGCCTTTTAGACAGGTGACGGAGGTCTGTTTTTGGCAGAGCCAGCAGTGTCTGTGAGACCAGGCAGGGCTGGTGGAGCCCTACAGAACAGCAGTGACTGATGGACCATCCTTGCCTTCCCTCTGCGTCCTCCTGGGATTGGCCCCCAAGGTACCAGAAGGATTTTGTTGAAGGTACTTACCAGGGTCTTACTGTACGTCGGCCACTCTGGTGATCATGACATTGATGGCTATGAATGGATCCTATTTTTCTGCTTTTACACAAGAGGCCGAAGGTCCCTCAGTGCTTAGGACAGGGCTGGCCCATGGCTCCAGCAGGCCATTGCTGAACAGACGGAAGCAGCCGAGCCGGGACCAGAGCCGTCTGTGGGCCAGTGACCTGAACCCCTGTGACCCTGAATCCCATCCCTGGGCTCTTGGAGCAGGGCTTCCCGAAGGGAGGGAGTTTGCCCTGCCTCCCCACCCCCACCCCCTGGGACACTCGGCAGTGTCCCTACGTATCTGATGGGTGGAGGCCGGGGGCTGCTCACATCCTACAGGTTAGCTCCCACCCCCGAACAGAACGACCCAGCCTCCCATCTCAGTCGTACCAAGGTTGAGAGACCCTGCCCTAGGAGAGCAGGGTGCTCGCTCGCAGAGCTGGAGGACCCTCTCTTAGACACAGGCAGAGCGGCCAGCACACCTCGCCTACTGATTCTGGGACATCTCCTTCCAAGAAGAGCCATGGGCATCACAGCCTGGACAGGGATTGTGGTCATGCATGAATTAAAGTGGTTTTTGTGTAAAATTTCAGTGGTGTCTCTTGCTTTGAGAAAAATCAGGAGGGTCATCACCTGACATTTGTCCCCATGTGGGTATCCCTGTGTGGGCCTTGGGGACAGGGGCCTCAGAGGCAGGTGGCCTCAGCACAGCCCCGGGGAGCCGACACTGTCCCTTCTTTCCCTGGCCACCTGGTGTTTGATGGGCTTCCTGCGGTGACCTTTTTGAGACAGGCCAGCAGCGTGGTGGGCCCTGCCCGGGCAGGTGCGGCACGCAGAGTGCTGGGGACCGTGACAAGACCCTTTCCCTCCTGTGCCTCAGTTTCCTCCTGTGCAGAACAGGGAGCAGAGGCCGTGGGACGGCCCCGTGCATTTCTGGGGCCGACACGGTGGCCAGCAGCCAGCTGCTGTTGGGGTTGCTACTGATGAAGCACAGCCGTGCAGCTTGGGGTGGGGGCCCCTCCGCTGAGGCCTTCTGTGTCCTGACCTGCGCGTCCCGCCCCGCAGGCCCCCCGGACAGACCACCCGGCTCTGTACAGGGACCTGCTGCGGACCAGCCGCGTGCACTGGATCGCGGAGGAGCCGCCCGCCGCCCTGGTCCGGGACAAAATGATGGAGTGCCACTTCCGGTTCCGCCACCAGATGGCGCTAGGTGACTGAGCGGGAGGGTCCCTTCAGAGGAGGCCCAGGGTAGGAGCAGTCATTAGACTTGGGGCGGGAGCGTCCCCCACCGTTGAGGTTGCAAAACATACTCGTAACCCCCTCTCTGCCCGCCTTCTCTGGGAGCCGGCGCTGGGAGGCGCGTCCGGGAGGTGCAGGCCTGGCAGCAGCCGTGGTGCGGAGCCCCTCTGCCTGGGGCCCCTGCTGCTCCTTCCACCCCCCGGGGGGCGAGGCCTGGGGCTGGCCGCACGTGGGAAGGCCAGTGCCCCCGCCAAGGACCCCTCTCTTCCACCCAGTGCCCTGTGTGCTGACCCTCAATCAAGACGGCACCGTGTGGGTGACGGCTGTGAAGGCTGTGCGGGCCCTGGCCCCGGGACAGGTGAGTGCCCCGTGCTGCAGAGGGGGGCGGGGAGCCCGGCTGGAGGGGGGGACCGGGCCTCGCGCCACGTCCGCGTGTGGCCTGGAGCCCGGGCCTCGTGCACGAGGTGGGCTTCGGCACGTGCTCAGCTGCCCCTCGCCGGGGCCCGTGTGGCCGAGGGAGCTCTAGCCAGTGGGCTTCGTGCTCTGGAAGGAGGGCCCGCGCCTCCTCCCCACCGGAGCACCTAGTGTGCAGGGTCGGGGGCTGAGGGGCAGAGCGGGTGTGGGTGCGCGGCTCACACAGCCAGTGAGGGTGGAAGCTGTGCCCCTCCCAGCCACACCAGTAGTACCCAGCTGCCCTGTCGGCCCCCCGCCCCCCACCCCCGTCCCCCCAGCCCAGCAGCTGCGGGCCCCCACTCCTGGCTGCTGGTGGGCACCTGGCGCCGGGCCCACTGTGGTGACAGGGCCTCTTTCCTTTTTAGTTTGCCGTTTTCTACAAAGGGGATGAGTGTCTGGGCAGCGGGAAAATCCTGCGCTTGGGGCCATCTGCCTACATACTCCAGAAGGGCAAGAGCAAGTCCAGAGTGGCCACCGAGGGCCCCGGCGACGGCCCCGGCAATGGCCCACGGCTGGGCCCCGCGCTCTGAAGGAGGCCGAGCTGCCGCCGAGCGCCCAGGAGCAGACACGGAGGAGCAGAGCCTGGGGTGGAGCAGTCGGGGGGAGCTTGGCTGAGTCTGCCGCCCCAGTTCTATCCAGGTGGCCAGGGTTCCAGCAAGCCTCCCGAGCCTGGGAGAGCCCCAGAAAGGCCTGCCCTGTCTTCTCCAAGTTGGTGCTTTGGCCAGAAGGACTTGCTGCCGAGTGGGTGGGTCCCAAGGGCCCCAGGGAAGGCCTCCCACCCGCAAGCACACAGGCGGACTGCGGAGGAGGCTGCAGGGCCCGCATCCAATAAAACGAGTGTCTGGGACACAGAGCCTGCTGGACTCTCCTGGGGAGGGAGCAGGCCTCCGGTGCACAGCTTGGGCAGAGGGACGCCAGACCCGCTCCCCCGTTCACCGCCCCCCCGCCCCGTGCCCTCCCTCCCTCACCTGTGTCGGAGAGCGAGTCCCAGGGAAACCAGGAGGACTGAGGGGCCTTCGTCCCAGTGGGGTGGGGCTCGGCGGGTGTTCCCTGCGGGGCAGCTTACCAGAAGTCCGGGCCCCCGCGGTGCCTTCGGCCGAGGTTCCCCCAGTGGTTCGCCGACGGCCGACTTCTCGCTATGTCCTCAACGGCCAGAGGGGCGATGGGTCTTTCTGGGGCCTCACACCGTGCCATCCCCCGGGGCTCCACCCTCACGACCCAAATGCCTCCCAAAGAGCTCCTCTGTTCACACCATCACATCGGGGATTTAGGGTTTCCCCGTAGGAGCGTTGGGGGGGCGCTGAGCCCCCCGCATGATGTGTGCGCACGTGTGGCTTTTGTGGCGAGAGGGCAGGAGGTCAGGGCCAGCTGTGCTCGTGGGCGGCACTCTGTGGCCCCATGGAGTCCCTGAGTGATGCCTCCGTGCGCTGTGAGGGCCCCGCCAGGCCTTGCCGCGGGCAGTACGCGGAGGCGCGGGCTCTGTCTCCTCTCCTCAGTGCCTGCGCAGCTGGGGGGTGGCGTCTGGGTCAGGCAGGAACTTGGCCCTCCGGGGAAGGCCTCTGGTGTCCGCATGCCCCACTGCCTCCGGCTCGCCTGCCCTGAGGGTGGGGGCTGGGCGCTGGGGACAGAGCTTGGGCTGCGTTCTCTCACTAGCCTCACACCCAACTCATTCCTAATGCTTCGAGCCAGGCTTCTGTGGGGACCAGAAATGTCTCCTGCCTCCTGTGGATAGAAGGTTCTAGACCAGAGGTGGCCTAGGCCTCCAGGCACGGTGCTGCTGGAGGAGCACCTGGGAAGGTCGTCCCATGGCCCCCAGCCTTCAAGGCCTCTGGTGGTGACAGGGCTAGCCCTGGGTCTGGGTGCCAGGCATCCAGGGCCCCCCTCCCCACCCCCAGAGGCAGGTCACAGGCCCCAGACCACAAGGGAGGAGCCCAAAGTGGGGTGACGGGCACCGCGGCCCCAGAGCACTACAGTGGGAGGAGGACTTTCTTCTGAACAGGAGGGAGGCAGGTGGTTTGAGCAGAAAATTCCTCTGGCCCCTGAAGTACAGGTGGGAGGGAACGGGGGCCACGTGGGCTGTGGGGTTGGGTTTGGTGGCGGGCATGGGCAAGTGTAAGGCCCGTGTAGCGGGTCGGGAGGAGGGTGGACGACTAAGACTGTTGTCCAGATGGGGTCCTGCTGCCCTCGGATCTCCCCACGCATCAGCACGCAGTGCTCCGAAGGGCAGAGCGGCCACCCTCTCCCCCGCCCCCCGTGCAGCCAGGAAGGGAGGCCCGGACCTGTCACCCCGCTTGGCACTGGCCTCGGCTCTGGTGTGCTGCCTGCAGCCTGCCGGCGAGACTGGCCTTGCACCCCATCCCCGCCAGCCGGGGGCAAAGGGCACAAGGTGGGCCGGGCCCCACCGCTGGTTTAGTGGGACCCTGTGTAGGGGTGACAGGCTGCACCGTTGGGGGCTTTAAGACCAGGCCACTGTGTGGGGCTGAGAAGTAGCTGCCAGCCCCCTTTCCAGAGGCAGGATGAACGTGGTCCCCCTCAGTGACGATCAGGATCCCCGTCCCCGCTCCTTACACTAGCCTGGGCCTGGGTCTGCCTTCTCCCCTCCTGGCAGGGGGCTTCCGGGGCTGGAAGGAGCGGGTAGGGGGCCCGAGCATCCAGGGCCGGGCCTTCTGGCCTGCCACGTGGCAGCTGGTTCAGATAAAGGAGGCCCTGGGAGGTGGGGGCTCGGCCTGCCCTGCCCAGGCTAGGAGGCCGGCCACTGTTCCGCATCACTCTGCAGTTCGTGCCAGGCGGTGGAGGCTGGCGAGGCTGGCCGTGGAGGCAGGGAGGGACTGGAACCCCGCCCATGTTCGACCAGCTCACAGGGCAGCATGGAATGGAGCCTCCCCGGCCTCAGGGTTCCCGATTCACTGCCCTGGTGGCTGGGCCTCTTGTCCTGCTGGGAAGGCCCCCCAGCGCCCACCCTGCTCCGTGCAAGGCTGACCCTGGGAAACGGCAGCAGGAACAGGGAGGGAAGGGCAGCCCGGTGGAAGCGTCCAGCACAGGCCGCCCGTCCTGCCAGCCCAGTGCCAGGCCCCCAGCTGGTCCGGCGGCCGCTCGGGTCACCCAGGCTTCACCTGTGGCGGGGCCCATGGCAGCCTTCCAGCCGGCGGCGCCGCCCTCCCTCTGGTGGGCACAGCCTGCCCTCCCCCTGCCCGAGGCCACCAGCCAACTGCGCGAGGCCACTTTGTGCATTGCGTCAACTGTCCGCCAGGGGGCCAAGTTCATGAGCTGGGACTCTGGCCCCTCCCACTGCCCTGTGCTGGCCAACTCTAGGGCTTCAGGAGACCCAGGGCAGGCCGGAGGGGCTGGAGCTGAGGAGTAAGACATGTGTCCCCCTGTCCCCGTTTCCCAGATGGGCACCCCCGTTGCCAGGCCCCGCCACTGCCCCACGTGCCCAGATCCCGAGGGAGGGGCCCAGGGCTGGTGCGGTACACACGGGGAGAGCTAAAGATCCCGGGAAACCCCAAATGGCCTGCTCGTCCCGACTGCGTCAGGAGGGTGGACACACAGTTCCAGTACAGCTCCTTTCCCCCGGGGCCTGTCCTCAGGGAGGGGGGCGGGGGGAACAGCACAGCAGAAGCACAAATTCGGAAACCTTAATTTATTGCAGACTCTTCTCTTGTGTTGTAATTCCAGTGTTCCGAACATTAATAAATAGACATTTGTTAAAAAAACTCCAGTGTCTCATTTCTCATAAAGTCTTAAGTCACAAAAATAGGTTTACAATGTATTTTCCTGTCTTAATAAAACGGACAGTTGTTTTTTGGTAACAATTCTGATCAGATTGAAAACCGCACCCCAAGGGGCAGGACCCAGCTGCAGAAGAGTGAGGACGCAAAGGTGGGGGCTTCTGACTCTAGGGTATTCAAACTTTTTTACTTAGAAAAGGTCTCGTCAGGGGTAAACATCTGAAGACCCTCTTCTGTCTTCAGAAGGCCCCTCACCCGCTAAGGCACATTTATAATTCATTCCCACATGCGGACCCCGGGGTCTCACTTCGCTCCCGTGTGAGGTGTGTGGCCTCAGAACCTCCTCGCAGCTGCTGTTCCCCGGGTGGTCCTAACAGTGCTCACATTTCCATCCGAATATGGCGTGGAAATCTTCACATTTGACTTGATTTTCTTCCTATTTTATGGTTTCTCAAACTTGGAAGCAGCTGTACTAGTCCCGTACTTGGGCGCCTGATTTGAAGAACAAAGGCAACACTGGAACGAGATGCGTCTGAGTCATTCTGGCCCCACGCCACAGCCCCTGGGGCCACGCCGCGCCAACTGCCCACCGCGGGCCAGGTGCGGCCGCTCCTCAGTACGAACTTCCAAAAAACAGCTTGGTAACCACTGAGAAGCGTGGCCGTGGCTTTGTCCCTCCGCACAATTGGCCATTTGAAGCAAAATGAAGTCATTGGTCGGACTCGGGGGTGGGGCCCCGGCCTGCCTGGGGATCCTCAGAGTCTAAAAGAGCTGGAAAATTTGGCAGGAAGGACCGTGACATCCTGGAAGACCTCACACCTCCGTCTGGATCGGAAACGTGTGAACACTGTACAATCCCACTGGGAACAGGAGCAGAGGGGACAAAAGACGTCCCCACCTGCGGTACCACACCGACTGGGCCAGTGGCCAGGGAAGCCCCGCAGGCCGAGCGTGGGCCTGGGGTGGGGGCGGGGCGGCCAGGGAAGGGCCAGCGCTAAGTCACAGTCAGCGCCTCCACCATGGCCGTGGGGCACCTGCCTTCTCCACCAGCCTCAGTGGCGGGGGGGGCGGGCGCTCCTCAAGTCCCACCCCGTCCCAGGCTGCCCTGTCTCCAATCCACCACAGTCGGGGCGGCTGGGAGCAGAGAGCACACATCTCAGAAACACGCGCTGGGAATTCAGGCGGCTGCGCGTGGTGCCCACAGCTCCCTGTTTCCTGGCCGGGCCCAGCGGCAGGAACCTCTGTTCGAGGACCCACTCGCTCCCCACGCACTTCCCACTCTGATCTGCCGGGACACCAGCTGCATCAACGCACGCCAGGTTCAAGTACAACTGTGCAATCTTCCTTATATAAAAAAAAGTGAGAGATCATCCCACAGATCTCCCAGTATCAATAGTACAAATGCAAAATATACACAGGCTTTCACCTTCTCCGAGTCCCATACAAATATATATAGAAGTATCTACACCTTTTCAACAAAAGAAAATAATTTGCTTTAAGACAAGGGATGTTTATGCAAAGGGTCGTCAAGGCCACCGGCCAGGGACCTGTGCTACCTGGGGGCACCTGCATGGCCAGTGGACCTCCGTCCTCCACCCACGCCCAGCACCCCGAACCCCGACAAGCCAGGCCTGGCAGTTTGGGGCCCCGCCAGCTCTTGTACCGGGCCCACTCCTGGCCCTGCCGGCCGCGGCTCTGCCTCACTCCGCAGTCGGCATCCGGCTGAGCCGGCCCGGGAGCCCACCCATCCTCGAGCCCGTGACCTTTGGCACTTGTCACGGGTCGGCTGGGCCCCGAGCTCCCGGGGGTAGCCCGGGGCTTTGTGTCTGGACTGTCAGTCACACCAGTCATGGGGCTGCCACCGCAGGGATCCCCACCACCAGGGCCCCTTCACTGACAGCGCAGCGGCCCCTTGGGCTCCAAGGTCCAAGGGTGCATCGATGCAGCACAGAGGCCTGGCTGGAGGCGGTGGGCTTGTCTCGGTTTCCTGATGGTTCAGATTGAAGTTTCGTTACTGCCTCTGTGCGTGGGAAGAAGCCGTCAGGCAGGCGGAGGTCAGCAAGAACGGCCCCTGCCATGCGTGAAGCCAGCAGCTGGGCGGGGTTGGAGGTCACGCGGGGGCAGACACCCCCCCAACTCAGGGGATGGGCGGGGGACAGAATCCCCCAGTCAGGGGGCTCGGAGGAGGGCAAGCTCACGTGTGGACAGAGCTACACTAGGCAGGAGAGGGGCAGGTCGAGTCTGCACCCTGACACCCAGGGCCCCCTGGACGGCCACGCCCATCGGAGCGTCCACACAGCCAGCCCTGCCTCTGAGCAACCGAGTTCACTCAATTTTAAGAGGGCCATTCTAGAAGACCTGGCTCCCGTTCTTTGCTCCTCCCTTAGAAGTCTGTAGGAGGGAGGAGCCGCCGGGAGAGGCCAACAGGCCCATCCCCCCCTGGCTCTGTTAGTCAGCAGGGGGGCCCCAGAGCCTCGATTTCCTCAACCACAACACAGGGTAGTAATGATCTGGACCAAGAGCCTTACAAAGTGCTTAGTCCTGCATGGTCTTAAGTCCTAGAATTTCAGGACTGGGTAGGACTTCAGGGCTTTGACCAGTGTAGCCCCCACAAGGGCGTGAATGTTGGCAGCCCTCCCCCACCGGGCCAGAAGTCCACTTCATCTTTGGCGGGCTCCTCCTGACCCTGCTGAAGCCCCTCCCCTCCACAGGACCCCAGCATAGCCCCTGGGCCCCTCTGTGCTCAGGCCCCTGACCACCGCCCCTCTCTGGACTGGACACCTGTCCCCTGGGCAGGAGGCGAAGGGGGAGCTGGCTGGGGCCGCTCCCGCTGCCCTGCAGCCGAGGCCGAGGCTACTCACTCGGAGTCAGAGCCGGCCGCCTGGGCACTCCCAGCCCGCACGTTCATGGCCACCCCATTGAGGTGCTCGCGCCCCGGCTCCCGGCGTGGGCTCTTGATGGTGATGGTGCCGTCGGGGGCACGGGCCCCGTCGCTCGAGCCCAGGGAGGACGAGCGCGACGACGCGGGGCTCTGCTCGCACTCGGCCAGCTTCTCCCGGAGCCGGGACTTCAGAGTCTTCTCGGTCAGTGGCGGCGGGTAGGTCACTTTGTTTTTCAAGATGCCTGGAGGTGGGGAGACGCATAAAGTCACGGTCAGGCTGACGCTGCCGGATGCAGGGACTCGAGGAACAGTCCCTGCGGACCCCTCAGCCCCTGCTCTTCCCTCCTTGGGGCTCAGCGCCAGGGCCAAATGGTCGCCTCTGTGCAGGGGGGCCCCCCTCCGGCCGCCCCCCGACCCCGCTTAAAGAGACCCTGACCCACCTGCACCGGCCCCACCTGCACCCAGTCTCCGCCCCGCCTGCACCCCGTACCGCCCTTC